GTGGCAGTACCCCTCAGATATTTGTGATTTCAAACTCTGGGCGTCGTTACTGCTACGTTTATATACGACTTACACTACTTGTCTTATTATAAACGCTCAGAAATATTCAAAAAGGAATGAAAAGTCATACTGCGGTAAGAACCTATAAGTAGTGGTATGTGGAGAGAGGTCGTAGTGGACCATTGGAGTGGAAGAACGACTTTTAAATTGAGAGGTGGTTGGATCGAATCCTTGTGTATATATATTTGGGAAACTATGATTAAAGGTCAAGGAAAACATAGCGTGGAAACGTGCATCTTGCATCATCCACAAACCTTGGCAAAACGTGTGAACACCCGCATGGATCCAGCACGGCGTACCACGGCTTAAACCCTGTCCTTATAGCAGCAAACCCATGCCCAGCGGTAAGACGATTAATGGGTTGATTGTGACGATGATGATGATGAAGTAATGATAGTCTAAGGGTTCATCTAACATGATTCCCATTCCCAAGGAGCAAACTTTATACGCCATAAAACTGTTATATCTATAAACAGTCTTAATATAGTATACCTAGATTTAAATAATAGTTCTCTATACATGGTTTTAGAAAAAAGAAATTGTTCTTATAGACTTATTTCACTCAAGTCAAAATTTTAAAACCTTAATACCAAACGACTTAATTAAGCGTAATCTCTCTTAAGATTAACTCTTATAGTCCTTATTTTAAATTCATCTGAACAACTGATGATTTTTAGTAAAATTGTTCTATACACGTCCAGTAAAGTCTGTTAATACTCTAAAAACTAGTGTTCTTAATTTTTTCAATTCTAGATATATTTATTTCATAGGCATTCTGTAATGGTTGTACTTATTGACAAACAGGTTATAGCGCGTCTTCAGTTGATTTTATTTAAAAAAATACTACAATTAAGGTTTTTACTCTATTGAACGTTGTAAAAGTTCATGCAAAATGGATAAAGTAAAGAATATTAAAAGATCTGGTGGAGGTGGTGAACCTTGGATATTAAGTCACATCATTCGATATACTCAGCATTGCCAATGAAAATTGTTCAAAATCCCCAAAAATCACGGTTGAAATCCTCAAATTTGGGGAGAGCAAAGTTCATATTCCCCACAAATTCCCCACACCTCGAGTTTTCATTATTTATTAGAAATACATCGCTTAAAAATATAATAAAGAATTAAGAAACTCATAATGTAATAATAATCTATTACGTTTGCTGTGAATGTAAACCGAATGTAAAATAAAACTAATTATAAAATTAGATGACCTTAAATCGTTTATTTATTTTGATTGGATTCAACATTAATCTATAATCAGTCTTTGAAAAGTAAACATTTTTCTTTGCCTTACAAAATTAAGTGAATTGATTATTTGTTGTGCATTTGGTGACAGTGTGTTAATGTTAGAAATAATCAATGATCAATCAAATTCGACCTATATTTAATATTTAATTTTCCAGTGGTCGCGCGAGGTCTCAGGGACCGCAGCGACCTTATTTTAGTCATTTTACAAAAACTATGAACCATAGATGGTTGAGCGACCATGATATCCTCGAGGAGATGAGGTACTTCTCCTTAGTAACCCTGTGACATTCGTCGCAAGCGCACATGTGTTTGCGGTCTCAGATCCGCGCGCGACCGGTCGTGTTCCAAAAAAATTCATGGAATGAAGTTGAAACCTGGGTGAGTATTTCATGTTATTTGTACTGTATTATTTAAAAAAATTAATGTTAATTGTTGTCTATCTATACAATTCAAATTTTGCTATTGGCGCTCTGATTAACTTTCCTATATCTCAAAGAAAGAGGTAGCTCTTAGCGATAAGTCCGCCTTTGCCCACATTAATTGCTCTCTATGTACTGATTTTGTTCTTGTGTGTGAGCAAGAAAGTGTGCATCTATCTACCTACGTATATTACAAAATTACATTATTTTATGTAATATTATATTCAATTATTTATTATTACACTATTTGTTATAGACAATGAGTTACGATGAATCAGAACGGCTTGCAGAGGAGGCGGAAACAGCAGATGAAGATGAAGATTTGATTATGTCAAACCATTGATACTGATAAGGAGTAGGTAATCGTAGTACAGTCAAGAGCACGTCAAGCTTGACACTTTGTACTTGGACCGTACTTATCATAAGCGGCATAGAGTTGGATTTAAGTCTTAAGTGTCAAGCTTGACGTGCTCTTGACCCTGTACCTACTCTTAAAAATATTTAGAAGTATTTTATTTTTTTTTTCTTTTTTATTATATTATAATTAAGATATTGCGTAGAACATCATGAAAAAAAAAACATTTAAAAACAATTGTGCTTATAAAGTTCCTACAAAATTGTGCAATTATTATTGATAATAATTTTTATTAGTTATAATTATGATGTCTATTAACGATTAAGATAGAAAATTTCATCTTGTTTTGTTATTTTCTTGATTACTAACGTTGTTTTGTGTCATATGACTAAAATTTTTGTAGACTGTTTGATTAATACGTACAAATTAAAAAAATAACAAGTAAATAATGTTTTTTATTTCCATTTACAAAAGACTTATTTTTATTACGTGCTATATAACGTCATGATGATATTCATTTGTCTTCTCAAACTGAACGCGCAAAGTTGCGGTCTCACAGACCGCGCGCGACTGCTTATGTTTGGCGCAAGGGTACGACCACTGGAAGGTTAAAGTTGACGAGTGGTAAGTTGTGGTGTGGAAGTACCAACTGCTCGGCTTTGTTTATCCATTGAATTGCGTCGTATATTTGTAACGCTTTAGTATTTTGGTTTTAAAATAGCATTACAAAGAAAACTATCATAGACTATAAATTATCTAAAAACCGTCTACAATACTAAATAAAAACTGTCTACATTCTATAAATGGTCTTGTAGCATTCTGGAAGGGTTACTTGAGAAAAAAGATAAGAATCACTCTTAACACTACAGTTAGTTTCTCAAAGCACTCTTGTGATCTACTAATAAAGTTGTGCCCACTTTTAGTTTATATTATCTAGAAACCTTCTTCGAGATATCTTGAGGGAATTTGAGCTCTTAAAATATTCAATCGAATTAAATTCTATTAGATATGTTAAAGTATATATTTAGATATGGGCGTGCTCCTTGGGATTGATATGTTAAAAAATTTAATATTATTTGTTCGCAACACTTTCATACTCAACACTAATTAACTAAACACCTTTAGTGTTTTCAATTAATTTTAATGATAATTTTAGATGTTATGCCGTTTTCATCAGCCGTCCAATTACTATTGTCGGATGATCTATTATTAGAAGCACAATTGCAAAAAGTAATTGTTTCAGTGTCACGTACGACACTGACAGAATTCAATTAGAGTGGTTCACACGGCGGCTTTCAGCAGCGAGCAAACGCGCGATCGTGAAACGCGCGATTGAATCGCTACATTTGCGATTTATAGTCGATTGCATCGATGCCAAAATGCGATTGCATCGATGCAAACGCGCAACTGCATCGATACAGTCGCTTATGTTATAATTACTGTATACTGTATAAGTTTCTGCACAATATTATATTTTGTTAATTGTGAATTTAAAAGATAATATATTTATTAATTTCAATAAATATATTAAATAAATAAATTAGTTAATTAATTTAAAACGTGCATTTGCATCGCGTTTGTATCGCGTATGCATCGCGTTTGGATCGCTGCTTAAAGTTGCGTGCGTGTGCAAAGGCAGACGATTAGCAACTGCATCGCGTTTGCCTCGCTGCTCAAAGTCGGCGTGTGTAACCGCTCTTAGTCGTAAGTTAAGAATATCAATATATTGAGACCAATAAAAAATATATGAAAATATATTGAGCATTAAAATTATTTGTAAAATACCGGTGACTGAGATTACACCTCCTGAAATAACTAATATGAATGTAAAACTTCCAAGGTTACGCTATTTGTATGCGACACTTTAATTCCATTTTTAATACGATAGACGGCGTTCAACTAGAAAACAACGAAGACTATTGAAAGCTAAACGAGAGAAACGCGCACACACACACGAAAAGGATAGTTTGTCACGTGTTTATTTACAAGAGCCTCTAAGCCGTTTTCCTCACATCTGGAACTTTTATCCATGTAGAGCTTGTAGAGTGACTTTGGCAAGTTTTCCCAAAGTTGAGTCGTTTATTTATAATATGAAAACTTTCTAAGTTAAAAGAAGTAGACGCAATAAGCTTTTATGGACGAACTTGAAAAACTCACTTCTTTCAGTAGAAATAGGTATAATAGAATTAATTCCATTAGCCATTAGCATCCAATTTATAGGCACCACAGCTGGGCACGCGTCTCCTCTTAGGCGAGGGTTTAGGCTATAGTACGCCACGATCGCCCAAGGGGGGTAGGGGACTTCACACGTTTTCCGACGGTTGTGTACCTTCTTCGACGTATAGGTTCATCAGGATGTTTTCCTCACCGAAGAGCTGATGGTAAATTTTAAATTAAATTTCGCACATAAATTCCGAGAAACTCAGAGAGCCCAGAATCGAACCCACAACCTGCACTTAGGAAGCGGTATGTCAAACCACTAGGCTACCACGGCTTAGAAATAATTCAGCACACATATATTTAACGATCACAATATATATGACAGGCAGAAAAAAGAACAAATATTTGAATTATAACACACACAAGATTCTACAAATAATAATAACTATAAAAATTAATAATCAAGTATTAAACATACGCGCGTGTCATGCTGTTAAGGAATTCATCATCCACTCTTAATGTCATCTCACTGTAATGCTGATTTTTAGTAGATCCAATAACAGAGAATACAAACAGTAGACGACACAGATGTGTATAATTTGATGTAATTGTAGATAATAATTTAATTACGATAATAATTTTTACTATTATATTATTTATTTATATTATTATATTTTACTATTTTTTTACTATAATTTAGACTCATTCGTAACGATCGAGCCTACACCATTGGATCCCAGGGCGGTCGTATGAGGATGGTTGGTGGAGGTGGCGTAGCGATTTATCTACGATGTGACATTGACTGCGAGATCGTAGCACAGTCGGTAACTAGCGCGGACTCTCCTGAATATCTTTTTTTAGAAGTCACTCTTCACCACACTAGGGCCCTACTGGGAGTTTTTTACAGTCCTCACCTAAGAGTTGACTATTTTGAGCAACTAGAGTCGGTTCTGGCTGATCTACGTACCCGCTACGAACATATTATACTCATGGGTGACTTCAATACCTGCCTTGTTAAGCGTGACTGCCGATCGAGGAAGTTGCTTTCACTCTTCCACTCACTTTTTTTGAATTGCCTCGAGTTGTATCCCACTCACTTTCCGCATAATGGTCAACCTTCCCTTCTTGATCTGATCATCACTTCTTCTCCTGAGCTGGTTGATTCTCATGGACAGTTTAATGCTGCTGCTTTTTCTTCACACGATTTAATTTATGCTTCGTTCAAAATTCGTCCACCTAAGCGCAGACATAAAACCTTAATGCTCCGCAATTATGCTAAAATAGACAAAAATGCCCTTTTCGATGATGTGCTGAATTCTGATTGGGAGCTAGTGTTTGGAGCGGAGGACGTGAATGAAATGGTTCAAGCTTTTAACTCCATTATTTTGACCATCTTTGACAAGCATGCTCCTCTTCAAGTTGTCCGAGTCAAACATTTCCCCGCGCCTTGGCTCACGCCAGATATCAAGGGGGTTATGGAGAGGCGCAACAGAGCACGTATCAGATTGCGGAAGAATCCAACCAAAATCAATAGTGAGTCCTACATCGAGTTACGTAACCGCTGCAACAAGCTCTGTAGGAGCGCCAGGCGTAAGCATATTCACTCCACTATCGAAGGTTGTCCGCATACTAAGATGTGGAAATATTTGAAGTCACTGGGTATCGGTAAAGCTGATCATGTCTTTCCCTTCAATGTCGATCTTAACGCGCTGAACGACTACTTTGCATCTTCCCCAGTATGTTTAGATTCTGTCATAAAATCGCGAACTTTATCTGTCCTGGCCAATGCACCTTGTCTTGCTTCAGCTTCTTTTGATTTTGGAAAGGTTACGACAGCAGATGTGTTGAAAATACTTAAGTCTGTCACCACGAAGGCTGTTGGTAATGACGGTTTGAGTCTTGACATGATCACTCCAATACAGGACCTAGTAGCTCCTATCCTAACTCATATCCTTAATTTTTCCCTTTCCAGTGGTGTGTTTCCCGCTGTATGGAAACAAGCCCATGTAATTCCTCTCCCTAAAAAATCAAATCCTTCTTCTTTCTCCCATTACCGCCCTATCTCCATACTTCCTGTATTGTCTAAAATCCTTGAGCACTATGTCCATAATCGACTCACTAACCACCTCCTACGTTACGATATTTTCAACCATCTGCAGTCTGGTTTTCGAGCGGGCCATAGCACAGTTTCTGCTCTGGTGAAAATCACTGACGACATTCGTCTTAATATAGAAAATAAAAAAGTTACTGTCCTCACTTTATTGGATTTTAGCAGTGCCTTCAGTACTGTTGATTTTAATTTGCTTCTTGCTGTGCTTAGAACTTTAAATCTACCTCCCTTAGCCGAATCCTGGTTTCGTTCGTATTTATTTGATCGTTCCCAGCTCGTAAAGACCGGTGACATGCACTCGGACTGGTGTAGCCTTACGGCTGGCGTTCCGCAGGGTGGGGTTTTATCACCTATACTTTTTTCGGTCTTTATCGGTGGAATTACATCATCACTCACGTCTTCTTTCCATCTCTATGCCGATGACCTTCAAATCTATACTGCAGCCCGTCTTGAAGATGTAGTTACTGCTATCGGCACATTGAATTCCGACCTACAAAAGGTTTCGGTATGGGCTAAGAACTACGGACTTCTTTTAAATGCACAAAAGTCCCAAGCCATAATTATTGGCAGTCGCCATTCCATCTCCAAGTTTGAGTCTATGGTGATGCCCAATTTAGTTCTGAATGACACTATTATTCCTTTTTCCACTTCAGTTAAAAATTTGGGCATCATAATGGATCAGACACTTTCTTGGTCGGAGCATGTCGCCGATGTAAGTCGTAAAATCTTTGCATCACTTCATTCCCTCAAGCGGATGCAGTACTTTCTTCCTCTGTCTACCAAATTTATGCTAATACGCACTCTTCTTTTTCCTATTCTGGACTATGGTGACGTCTCCTATCTTGATCTTTCGGAGGACCTTCTTAATAAATTGGAGCGGCTGCAAAATCAATGTATCAGATTTGTGTTTGGATTAAAAAAGTACGACCACATTTCCAAGTTTAGAGATGAGTTGAAGTTGTTGCCTATTCGTTTACGTAGAAATGCTCACATTTTATGCTTCCTCTATAAAATCCTGTTCCATCCCACTTCACCTAGCTATCTACGTGAGCGTTTTCAATACCGTCAGGCTATGGGTGACCGCCTGCGTTCTGGCACCAATTTGTCCCTCGTCCTTCCACAACACAGTTCCCAAAAATATTCGAACTCGTTCACAGTAAATGCTGCCCGTATGTGGAACCTTCTCCCGGTCGAGGTCAGACAGTCGCCTTCGGTTCGGGTTTTCAAGGGTGCTCTTTTGAAGTTTTGGGATTGTTCAGACTCCACATGTTAGAGCTTTTGAAATATTTTTTTACTTTTGATATATTTATTTATAGTTTTATTTTGTACATTCAATTTATTATAGACTTTGTATGTATTAATGTATCAACATTACTTAATATATATATATTCGTATGTACAGTTGATTTATTAAATTTATCTGTGTATTTATTGAGTATAGTATATTTCATTTCTTTACTTATCTATTTTTAGTGCCACCCCAAAAACCAACTTTCCTCTCAGATTTTCAAAGGTTAGTTGGAAGAAATCTCTTTATGGGATAAGCTCGCCTTTGTACACAAATATTTAAATTGTTTCTGTAAATTTGTAAGTTACTTTGTGGTACAATAAAGTGTTTAAATAAATAATAATAATAACGCACACACTCAACATAGCTCCACACTAGGAAAACCCTGTGTCGCGGGTGCAATGGCCACACGCATAGATAACCACAAATTACATCCAAACTCACGAGAGAAATAAATGTATGCCATACAAATATTTCAACTGGCCTGGGAATCGAACCTGGGACCTCTACGTGGCAATACGACACGGTAAGCGTTCGGCCATGGAGGCAGTTAGTTAATTGTAAATAATAATATGTATCTATATAAATAAAAGTGTATTTGTAAATAATAGGGTAATTGTGAATAACATTGTAATTGTAAATAATATTTTAATAGTTAATATTGAGATATTTAACAAGAATTAGATAAAATTAACAATAAAATTTTCACGCACACATTCCCGGCATTTTAACAGCTACGATGGAGGCTGCTGACTATTAAACCAGTATGCCTAAAAAAGTAAAAAGAGATGAATAGAACTTGGCCTCCGTTTTACGTCATCAGATTTTTTATTTAAACGTGTTAATGCTTCCAGCCTTTCCAAGATAGAATCAAATATTGTTTCACTTCCATTACCTCCTTTCTCTATCGAGTTATCAAATTTAGTTGAGCTTGAAATCATTCAAGTTCAACAAAATAGCAGAAGTATTTTACCATTTTACTTGCTCCAATAACCTTTATCCCGTTTCGAGCTTCAATTCTCTCTATTCATTTTGCCTTTAGATTCAAACTCACGAATATCAGTTTATTCGGCGAATGACTGTGCAGTTTGTGAATGAAAATATTTCATTTCGAAGCGCGATACGCCCCACCACTTGTGATTCAGGAGGCAGTCACTTCTACGTGAGCGGAGCTTACGCACTCACCTGCTTTCAAAGAACTATACTTTTCTGGAACAGATTTTGCTTGAGATAGATCATGGATGACATGAAATTTATACTGTGAGGGCCAAGTGATGGTGTTATTAAATTTTAAAAAGCAGTCGTGTTATTTCATTGTTTTTTGAGTTACTTGTTTGTGAAGCACAAATTTAAACAAATAATTGTTTAGATAGCATTTTAAAGTAAATACCTGAAATATAACTCATTTTTATTTAAAACACAAAATTATCAGTTTGAGTATGAGTAGGTATGTATTATACAGAGTGAAATTTATATGTAGTTCCATTTTCCAATCATTTGTAATTATACACGTAAGTAAATGTCGCTTGTATGTATTTACCTGATTATTTTAAATTAGCCATATGTTGCCAAAAGGAAAAGGAAGTCAAAAGAAGTAGTCAGCAAGAAACTATGTCGGGTCTTCTTGTCAGTCTTACCATAAAGTTTAAAAACAACGGTTTTCAATCAGCGCGTTCTTACCCGTTGTAACATTCGGAACCGAGACGTGGACACTCAGGATATGGCTAGTCCACCATTTAAAAGTCGTTCAGCTATGGAACGAGCTAGTTAGCGGATTTCTTTAAAGGAAAACTTGCTGACTGTAGATGGATATGACAAGCTGAGGACTGGGCGAAATGGCGGACATTGGGTGAGGCAGTCCAGATTGGTCTGCGATAGGCTGATGATGATGATGAGCCACATGTCACAAACTTGTTTTGCTTTATGCTTGCAATTATTGTCTCATCCAGTAATAATGTTCTACATAATTCAATGTGCGGACGTCTCATTTGTTTTGCACGACGCACGTAATAACATGATCAAAACGTATGAGAATTTTGACAGCGAGACGTGACGAGCAAGCTTAAACTGACGAATTTGTTTGCAAGTGAATCCAAGTTAGTGGATAAATTGATCTGCTTCTACTATGTTTTAAGAATACGGCGCAATTTATATAAGAGGTACAGGAGTGAACACTGTTGGGCTATTTTAACGTGAAAGTTTATTTAGAATCAGACAGAAGCGTACTGGGTACTATGAGAAAAAATTTAACTATAACTTAATGAAAAAGATTCATCATCAATACGAAAGAAATCTAGCATTTTAACGAAATAGATGGATCACTGCAACGAAACATATAAATCACAGTAACGTATGAAATTGATCACCGTAATAAAAGAGATCATTAACGAAAATGATGACTTAACGTACAAATTTCACATTAATTGACAAAAACACGGCATTAGTACATATAATGATAAAAACAGTACAAATATGTATATGTTGAATTTTGGAAATGATTTTGACTTCCTACACAAATCAACGGACACCTGAAAGCAGGTAGACAGTAAAAAGTTTATATGGAATTTTTGTAATATTTTTTATTTTTTACTTGTTTATCTGATAATAGGTTTACTGTGTTAAGATTTTTCGGGTTCATATATAAATAGCCCTGTACAAACTCAATTACTTCCGTAGCACCAGGGCGCCAAAGCTTTTGTTATTCAAGTTCAAAGTAACTACGAAAGACATCTAGTAAGGCATTGCAAGATAAAAAATACATTCATTTAACTATAAACAATTATCAATAAAAGTAGGATTCCACAAATGTTGACCCTTAAATATAATTTTTTAAATTGAAAGACTATGTATATAAATGATAACAAGAAGAATTAAATTGCTTTTACAACATCTATATGTAAGGCACGATCACATTTTCCTAAACCACTTAAAGAACCTGCAACTAGTACGTGATTTGGTCCAATTATGGTAATTTCCACCTGACTTCGGTGCTGTTGCTCGCGCCTACTTTAATTCAGAGTAAAAATAGGTAAGTATTAAAATAACCTTTTCATATAATGCTTAAACGTTTTCAAAACTACAGTTTTTGGGCAACTTTGAACTTCCACCAAAGTTAAAAGTTAAAAGCAAATTTTCGAAAAAAAAAAAAAACAAATAAAATAGCTTAAAGTACCAAATTGCCGGTTTGTTACACGAGAACAGAAGAAACGAAATGTTTTAAACAATTGCATTTACCAAAATGTGCAGTCATGATATAAACATATTTCTGGTATCTTACTGAAAGCTCGTTTATTCTTATGTGAAACAGAAATTCATAAAGCCTTAGTACTCACTCTCGATAACTTAAGGAAACAAAATTTTCCTTATATTTAATTACCTAAATCGAGGAAAAAATGGTAGTCTGCAAGGCCCAAATCAGATCAGTACGAAGGGGGCGAACAACTTCAATCTATAACTCCTGAAATGTGGAAATAATTTGTTTGGCAGTATCCGCTCTAAGATTATCGTAATATCTTATAAATTCACCGTTAGGTGAAGATCGGTTGACTTCTTGGTTGGTAACGGTTGACCTCGGTCTCGTGCTAATCTCATCCAGGTTCATCCTGCAA